AAAAAAAATAATATATATATATATATATATATATATATATATATATATATATATAATATGAGTAATAATTTATAATATGTTATAATGTATGCACACACACACACACACACACATGTATGTATATGTATATATATGAATTAAAATGATTTAAAAATGCGGATAAAAACAATTTTAAAGAGTCCAATAAGACAATATCTAAAATATTACATAGCAGAACATAAAAAACATTAATATTTACTATAGAAGTTTTCATAATTACGATATATTCATAATTTCCATTTTTAATTTTTTCCCCATGTTTTTTTTATAACTGTGCAAATCTGATGATAAAGCTTGTTCAAAATAAAAAGGGAAATAACATTAAACTCACTGACAGAAAGAAATTATGGACAATACCAATAGCCGATAACTTTCTTAATGTTAAAATTATGTCAAATACATAAAATTATTTTACACATTATGTACATTTATGTAAAATAAAAACTAAAATAATATACAATAAAATAAAAAACATTATTGCTTAAGTTTTAAATGCTTCAAGCACTTACATTATCAGCTTTAAAAGGCTTTTTTTATTTTTAGAAATGATACATTATATTTAAATAATGTAATGAATAAATACTATATTAGGAATGGCTGGTACAAAAATTTTTTTTTTTAAATAAAAATTATTTGTTACATGTGAATACTTAATCAAATAAAATAAAATATAAAATAAACAAAAAAATATGTTTACTTGCTTAATAGTATATGCACCACTATTAAGCTTGTCACCATAACTCAGTTTAATCTATTAAAAAACAGTTACAATATGTCTCACTAAAGAGTTCAACATGAACGGTTCAGAAAGCTACTACATCTCTAAAACAGGTCTGTAAAGCTGTTGTCTTTCCGGTGAGGCTGTTTAATCTATTAAGAAGTGATGTGAGGACAAGTAAACGGGAACCATTAGGTCAAACTTTAGGCCTCTATAGAGTTCAATATAGTGATGACGCCAACACAACGACGCCCTTCCATACTGTCGACAGCAATCAGATCAAGAGTTTGAAGGATTGCTCCTGCTCCTGACATGCACTGAAGGGCAAATGTGAAGTCTAGTGTGATGGAAGCCCTTGTCAGACCAATATCTATACCAAGAGAATTCATAATAAAGTCTTCCACTGCCTCACGAGTGACAGGAATGTCTAAAAGAACTGGAAAAATAAAGAAAAGTGTAACGAAAAGGCAACTGTGGATAAAACAATTATGAAAACACTTCGCCGACTTCAACTGGAAAAGTGCAAATAATATAGATTTTTGGAAGCGACAGAATCTGAGGAATAAAGCAGAATGCAAATGAGAGAAAGCAATTCACAGATTCAAGAGGAGATCTTAGATCAGATATTATACCAAATTTATGGTTATTGCATAAGATTTCCCAGCTAGAGAAACAGTATTTGGATACTGTGGTGGGAAATCACTAAGATAGAATAAATTGTGCCTGAGTTGCTTTAGTATCCGATTAAAGGAATTATGCAAATATGCACAAATTTTGTGTTGAATGCATTTTGCACGCTGTAATTCTCCATTGCGGGTGGTTAGTGAATAAGACTTGTTGTTGTCGTGCAAGAATACTGTGTGCTTAGTGAATGTGAGTGTGTAAGAGGGTGAAAGGTCAGAGGTCAGGAGATTCATGGTGCACATGACAGCCGACGTACCTCTAGTTTGGACTCCAGCTCCACAGTTCTCCTGAGCTCCTTTACTGTCTCTGCGGATGCTCCATGGGACCAGCTGACATTTACGCCACTTGTGCGTTTTCCACCTGCAATTTCAAAGCGATATAATTCTAATTATTGGTAGAGGTTGATCAGTTAGTGCACTGGAAATCCTAATTAGCTGCCTTAACTTGAAAAAATATCAGGAAACCCACTGTCTTGGAAAATTAACTCATTTGAATTAAGCTGCCCACAATCTGATAACATTTTTTACTTAACTTCATTCTTTTCATCAGGATTAACCATTTCGCTACCAAGAAAAAAAAAGCTGCATACAGGTTTTAAATGACTAAGTTGAGCATATAATGATAGAATCTTCATTCATAATTTTACATAAGTGTACATATCTTTATTTACTCGAGAAGGTCAGTTTTAGTAAAAAAATCTATCCTGAATGTCAATAAATGTGAAATCCAGCACAGAATAGCTGATGAGTGCAGAGGCAGCTCTTGTGGGTGAAGGTGTACCTGTAACCCGGACAGACAGATGGAGTCGGACAGTCTTTCTCTTCATAGAGGACGTCTGGACACTCCTGACCTCCATTAGCTGACATCTGGATGATCATTCGATAGCGAAACTGTTTATTCTTCTGCGCATTTGTACCTGTCATTTCAAATACTCAGTTCATGTCATGATTAATTATACTGCATTGTATAGTGCATGATACTTTATTTCTGCTGTTGCAGTCATGGTTATTATTGTTAAATACTTGGGATGGATGAAAAAAGCAGGCAGACAGACAGACAGACAGACAGACAGATAGATAGAGAGAGAGAGAGAGAGAGACAGAGATGGATGGATGGAACTATACATATAAAGATAAAAGAATGGATGTGGTGTACCTGTTTCACAGGATGTGGGACACTCTGTCCATTCACTGAAGGGAGTGACGATACAGTCTCTCTTGCACGGCAGCAGACAGGGTCTTACTGATTCTGGGCGAGGGGCTTCAGGACATCTAAAACATCAAACAGACACACTGAAAGAACACCAGGACACTCAACGCAAGAAAGTGTGACGCACATGTGTTTTGATCACAGGAAGCAGGTGGATACAGAAAGCCCTGTGTCGCACTTTCACCAAAGACCCAATCATCTAAACGAGATTCATTATCAGACTTAAGTACTGCAGGTCACCGGAGCACACATGAATTCAAACACTTTCACTTTACATTTCCCGGCCAAAAAAGGTCTTCCAATGGATGTTTTCTAGAATTGTATTTTTCCTCTGAGTAGCATTGGCTGTTTTAGTCAAGGTTTTCACACCATTTTCTGCTCTTCCTCTCTGACCTTCGAATGAAACAGGCCATTACTGCTGTGCTTGTGCCTGTAAGATTTTTGAGAAACACTATCTTCGCATATGAAATGAGTAACAGGGCTGTGTTGCACACATTATAGTTTTTAACTGCTCCATCCTTCAATAACAATTTTTTTGTAAAGCATTACATTCACTGGTTTACAAGTCAGCACTGAAATGCACATCGCATCTCAGAAAACTAGAAAAACGGCATTAGAATGGAGTCATTTTTGTGAATCACTTTAAACTGTCTACTTCAAAGCATCAAATCAACTCTCAGATTTAGTCTCCACATGGCATGTATTCACGTTTTAAAGTTTAAGACCAAGTAAAGAAATTGTAAGGAATAACAAAGTAAATGTCTTGTATTAGCAACACCAAAGTTTGAAAAAACATCTCCTCAAAACTTACTTTTGTATGTATGTTGAATACTTTTGCTCCTAACCCCTACAAATAAATATATGTGACCCTGGAGCACAAAAGCAGTCTTAAGTCGCTGGGTTATATTTGTAGCAATAGCCAAAAATACATTGTATGGGTCAAAACGATTGATTTTTCTTTTATGCCAAAAATCATTAGGACATTAAGTAAAGATCATGTTTCATGAAGATATTTTGTAAATTTCCTACTGTAAATATATCAAAACTTCATTTTTGATTAGTAATAAGCATTGCTAAGAACTTCATTTGGACATCTTTAAAGGCGGTTTTATCAATATTTCGATTTTTTTGCAACCTTAGATTTTCAAATAGTTGTCTCTCAGCCAAATATAGTCCTATCCTAACAATACATCAATGGAAAGCTTATTTATTCAGCTTTCAGATGATGTATAAATCTCAATTTCGAAAAATTGACCCTTATGACTGGTTTTGTGGTCCAGGGTCATATACGTATATATATATATATATTTCCTAGAGCAAATATCTAAAGATTCTTATATCAAGATACAGTACATTTACTTGAGAAGCAAAATGAGTTAAGTCTTGTTTTATGAGAAAATTATCCAAATGAAGTGAGTTTATGATTAAAACAAGAACAAATATATGCCAATGAGCGCAGAAAAATGTACTAATTTCAAAGGGTTTTAATACATCATTGACAGATATTTGTTCTTGTTTTAAGCATAAACTTGATTTTTTTCAGTATTTCACTCTTGCATTTGATGTCTTTTACAGTATTTGACTTCTAAATTAAGACACAGTATTGTTAAAAAATATATATATTTTTAAAGGGATAGTTCCCCAAAAAATAATTTACTTACCCTCATGTTGTCCCAAACCTGTTTCTTTTTTCTACAAAATAATATATTTTGAACAATGATGGGGTCCAAACCACATTGGACCCCATTGACTGCCATTGTATGGAGAAAAATAATAAATGAATAAATAAATAATATTATTATTAAAATATAACATGTTAATGTTAAAGGTGTTCATTTTTGTGAACTTTCCCTTTAAGTCATTTCAAAGCAAATGCATACAGTAAGTATCAAGATTAATATCATAAGAAGACTTTTCTTTTCTTTTTTTAGCTATACTAGTTTTAGCTTTATTGGTTTTTGCTATAATGCCCAGCCCAACTCCACAATGTATTACATCAGAATCCTTGCAGAGTATGGCTCAGCAGCATCACAACAATGCTTCTGTTCTTCCAATCATATTTCCCCTGCTCCGCGGCTGCATTATGTACCAGCCAGACGATCTAGAATTGTATTTTTCCTCTGAGTACAGTAAGTATCAAGATTAATATCATAAGAAGACTTTTCTTTTCTTTTTTTAGCTATACTAGTTTTAGCTTTATTGGTTTTGCTATAATGCCCAGCCCAACTCCACAATGTATTACATCAGAATATGTCTAGAATTCTAAGAATTCTAAGTTTATATCTCGCAATTCAGATTTTTTTTCTTCAGAATTACAGGTTTAAATCTTGCAATTCTGAGTTTATATCTCGCAATTCTCAGAATATTGTGAGAAAAAAAGTCTGAATTGTGAAATATAAACTCAGAATTGCGAGAATAACATGTGAATTATTATATAAACAGTCGCAATTACCTAATTTCATTGTTTTACTTCTGTAATGTATGGAAGCCCTTTTCCACGAAAAAAAAGAGTAAAAATACTTTTTCTACACCATTTCAAACATTGAAAAATGACTGGAATGTTTGAAAATGGTTTCTTTTTTTTTGCAATCCTAAAATATGACACTTCATCAAATTGCACTTTTGCAACCTACGCCGTCTAGACTCAAACACAACTTTCTGCTCCTTGAAGTGGTAAAAAAGCGAGTGGAAAATGCAATATAATACCTAAGCCTAAATTTGTCTGTGCCAAAAAACCCACTGCTACTGTTTCCACAAAGTACTGTCGGGAGGACAACGACTAAGTGGATCAATGATGTATTTTAGGGGGTTTGTTTGTGCTAAGCCTCAAGAGGTCCCTCATCTAGTAGTGATTAAATTACATTAAAGAATCAAACCATCTTAATTACCACTATTATCATCAATAGTAAATTAGGCAGTCTGAAAATGACTGTGCTAATTAGCCTGTATGTGACTCCATGTTTATTCGGCTTTCAGCAGCTCGTTTGCCTGCAGTGGAATGATAGGGTTTGTGAGCACGCAGACATCTGTAGAGCAATTACGATCTGCCACTCAAACACAAGCAATCCATCTTCTTCTGAACAATTCTCCATCACCACTAACCGAGACACTTGAGTTGAGGTATGATTCACGCCATATGTAATAACATCATCATAACACATGGTAATATTGCGACATGAAATGGCAAAACATTAAGATTACATTCATGTCATGAATTCTGCCATGAATATGTCCAGAATATTTCCAAAACTACAAAAGTAGAAATTATATTTTGTATAAAGATGAATAAAGACTATTCTGTCAGGACCACTATCGTCAAAATGATAGATACTTAGCATAAAGTTTGGTTTGGCGGTATGGTTCTGTTCTGGCCAAAAAACTCCCTGCCCATGCCATGCAGCAGCAATAATACCCCCCCTAGGGTTAACAGAACAGAACAAGGCAGATATCATTAATGTACTTAATGATATTTAAGTGTAACACTTTATTCAAGATAAAGGAGTCTGATCAGCAAGGAATATCAGAAAGCCAAGTCCTGACTGTGGCGAAAGGTGGAGCTGGGGATGGAGGAGGGTAATTTGCTCCTGAGCAAGCTGAAAAGCTGCTGAATAATACTGAATAGAGCTTATATAGGAATGCCGCGATAGGTGTCATATTCCTATAGGTAGATGTGATCAGCTGAGAATCAACTGACGCAAGCTTGATTCACGTGACCTGCCAGAACTAACAATAACGCTTAATTTTTAGGACCAATTTAGGAAATGCAAATTTTTTTTGCATTGTGACAATTAAGCATCACATGCAGTACAGTATTATGGAATTGAATATTATTGTATTGCACCGACTTTAATTTAAAATGATTTTAAAATGTTAAAATGAATTAGATTAAAAATAATAAATAAATAAAAACCTAAAAAGTTAAATAAATAAATAATATATGGTGGCATAAAAATATACATTAAAAACTATATTTAAAAAAATATGTATTTATTTTTCTTTATATTAATGTGTATAAATATTTATTTTAAATAATAAATTTTATATTGCAGAATGAAAATGTGAAAGTTTGTGAACTGCACCTAAATGTTTCTTGTAACTGCTGATCAGTCGTGCACAATGACTTGTAGGAGTTTTAGCCCATTCTTCAGTACAGAACCACTTAAACTCTGTGATATTGGTGGGTTTCCTCCAATTTCCTTTAGAATTTGCTGGTATAATTCAGAATTCATTGTTCCATCAATGATGGCAAGCTGTCCTGGACCAGATGCAGCAAAACAGGCTCAAACCATGATACAACCTTAAATAAATAAATAATATATGGTGGCATAACAATATACATTAAAAACTATATTAAAAAAAATATGTATTTATTTTTCTTTATATAAATGTGTATAAATATTTATTTTAAATAATAAATTTTATATTGCAGAATGAAAATGAAATCTATATATGTATAAAAAGTAATATAGAGTATATATAAATAATGAAAAACTTAAAAATATATTAATATTTATATTACATATGCATACAGATACATTACAGTAATGGGAATTTATCATGAAAATAATGCCATAATGCAATACAACCCCCACCATGTTTCACAGATGGTATAAGGTTATTATGCTGGAATGCAGTGTTTTCTTTCTCCAAACATAACGCTGCTCATTTAAACCAAAATGTTCTATTTTGGTCTCAACCGGCTTCTAACCCTTTCTCCAATAACACTCTGGCTTGTCCACATGATCTTCAGCAAGCTGCAGACGAGCAGCAATGTTCTTTTTGGAGAGCAGTGGCTTTCTTCTCGAAACTCTGCCATGCACACCATGGTTGTTCAGTGTTCTCCTGATGGTGGACTCATGAACATTAGCCAATGTGAGAAAGGCCTTTAGTTGCTTAGAAGTTACCATGGGGTCTTTAGTAACCTCGTCCTGCTTTGGAGTGATCTTAGTTGGTCAACCACTTCTGGGGAGGGTAAAAGTGGTCTTTAATTTCCTCCATTTGTACACAATCCATGAAATCCAAACTAAAGATGGCTTTGAAACATTTTCCAGCCTGATGAGCAACAGCAACTCTTTTTCTGCGGTCCTCAGAGATCTCTTTAGTTCGTGCCATAATTCACTTCCACAAACCTGATCAAACTATTGATAGATCCATGTTCGTTGAATAAAACAGGACACGCACTGACACCTGATAGACATTGCATTGATAGAATACACGTCTAAACAGATGGACTCTAATTTCACCTTAAAAAAAACTGCTAATCCTAGAGATTCGCATATTTTTGCCACTCACAGATATGCAATATTGGATCATTTTCTTGAATAAATAAATGACAAAGAAAATATTTTTTTCTCATTTGTTTGATCGGGCTGTCTCCTTTCAGGACATGTGCGAAAATCTGATTATGTTTTGAATCATATTTATGCAGAAATATAGAAAATACTAAATGGTTCACAAACAGCACTGTAAAAAGCAGCACTGTATATATATATATATATACTTACTTTTTATATGTAGACTTTATTTTATTTATGTAACATAACATTTTATTTCTTATGTAGTTTTGACAATGTAAAGAAGAAAAAAAAGATGCTCTACCATATTATGGAACTACTCAACCAAGAGCACATCTACATATGACTGCCCATGTTTACATATCAGCAGCTGTTCAGTGTTCTGAAACTTGGAATGTCAATTAACAACAACTTTGCAAAAAGGAAGTTGTTGAAGGATGGTGCAATGCCAATTATATTGGACCAAACAGCAAATCCACAACCTGTAAGAATCCTATTAATTTCACACGCAAAAACACTGGCCAATCATATAAGAGGTCATTTACATACAGAATCCTTCAGAGAAGGGAAAACATTAATTTAATCTTGCATGTAGACTTACTTTTTGGGCGGTACCTGCCCGACGTTGACTTTTACGCAGATGACCTTGCGCGTTTGCACACCCACGGTGCAGGTGGATTTTTCTGCGCTGGAGGAGGAATTTATGGATGTAGTGGTGTCCTCCACACACGGTCCCCACGGGCCCGTCTGCCAGTGATACATGATGCAAGGATGCTCATTACAGTTCCGCACCTCCTGCAGGGTGCTGGTGTTCGGACAGCTGGAACCTCCTGCAAGAGTGTGAAGACATGCATTAGGTCTGACACGTGTCTACACTAGACGTGGTCGGCATCATGTCATGCCACCACAGCTTGAGGTTCTGCACACTGGACAAGGTGCACGTTGACTCAGGAGAAGACTTCAGCTACAGTAAAATCAAAGTAAAGTCCACAAAAAAAAAAAAATAATAATAACCAGAAATTCACTATGCATCGGTAACATTTTTAATGTTGTGTAAGAAGTCATCAAGGTTGCATTTACTTAATAAAAAAAACTGTAAAATTGTTAAATATTATTACTATTTAAAATAAAAATTTTCTATTTGAATATATTTAAAAATGTAATTTATTTCTGTGGTCCAAAGCTGAATTTTCAGCATCAGTACTCCAGTCTTCAGTGTCACGTGATCCTTCAGAAATCATTCTAATATGCTGATATGCTCCTCAGGAATTTCAGAATTCTTTGATGAACAGAATATTCAAAAGAACTTATGTTAGAATGCTTAAAAGCATTTATTTGAAATCTTTTGAAACATAAATAGTGTACTGTCAATTTGATCAATTTAATACATCCTTGTTGAATAAAAGTATTTATTTAGACTGCCGCTAATGTTTTCTAAAATCTCTTCTGCTCACCAAGGCTGCATTTATTTGATTAAAAATACAGAAAAAAATGTAATATTATTACAATTCAAAAATAACTGTTTTCTAATTTAATATACTTTAAAATCTAATTTATCCCAATGAGGTCAAGACTGATTTTTCAGCATCAGTACTCCAGTCTTCAGTGTCACATGATCCTTCAGAAATCATTCTGATATGCTGATTTATTATCAACGTTGGAAACTGTTATGCTGCTTAATATTATTTTGGAACCTGCCATATGTTTTTCAGGATTATTTGATGAATAAAATGTTAAAAAGTACAACTGAAAACTTAAAAATGTACTGAAATTAAAAATTATTTTGCATAAGCCTTTAAATGCATACGGAAACGTCTTTTCTTCCTTGTTTTTTTTCTTGCGAGGAAAGGTCAAGTGTTAATTTTCTCAAATCTCAACGTAATGCCGTCATCTCCAGTCGCTTAAACTTGTTCTAATATTGATTAAGATGAAACACTTCACATAATTGCCACCTCCTAATTCCTCACAAGTGGCAGATAGTCGATGCAGCCGGCGGAGAGCGGCGCGGTGTGTCGAAATAATTGCTGACATTTACAGGTTTGCAGATGACAGAGCAGCCCAGTGGGCCTGTAAATAAAAGCGCTCTCATTCTCAGAGGAAAGGAAGAGCTTTATGAGAAGAAGTGAGCGAATACGTCTGCCTGCTTTAACTTTATAACACGCAGAGTATTATAGTTATTGGATCTGACTGTCAGATCCATTAAACAGCTGATTAGTGTGTTTATGTTGGGCATTGAGTTGAAGGGTAATAATAGGGCTTTTCACACTTTGTTTAACTTTAAACCCTAGGTAACCAAGGCTCTTTCTTATAATTTTGTGCCCTGATTTGTGATGCCAAAACGTATAAGGGTGATTCTTCAGTTCAAGGCACTTTTGACACTTAAAAAAAAATCATACTTCTTCAAACGATGTTTCATCAGTTAAAACATTTATCACATGTCCTGAAAAAATATTTGATCATGGCTTTGATGAGCCTTCAAGTATAATGTGGTATGCAGGGTTATTATCATCATGAACTAAAACTAAAATGAAAACTAAAACCATTTTTTAAAAAGTCTGATAAAACTGAAACAAAAATTAATAAGAACTATACAGACATTTGAAAACAAACCTAATAAAAATGACAAAACACTACGAAATTGCTAATAAATAAAATGCAAACAGAAAATATAAAAATAAATTATAAATAGTTACAGAAGATAAAAGAAAAAGCTACAGTAAGATAAGCTTTGAACTTTCTAACACGTAGCCGTCAATAACCCTTGCAAATATAATACATCAGGTTTGTGAGGAATGTTTATTTGTTCATCATGGTATTGCATTGCAGTATATGTTTTGAAACGACAGAGATTTGATCTAAGCATTTAAATATCATCTTACTAAGACATATTTTTAGGAGATATAAAGTGACAAATAATATGTATATGGATCCTTACACTGTTATATAAATCTCATTGATTTAAATTACAAGATATCAGAATTTCATCTTACTTTTTGGCCATATAAATATCAGCAACTGCACCAAATTGCATATTTTGCTCTGAATAAATTGTTTTCTTATACTCTATGAGCCATACAAGCCTGATACATCAAATATGATACTCATAAACACATATGCAAACTTTTAAAATATATATTTTTAGTTCAATAAACTGTTTCTGACAATTATTTCATATGTCATGCTTTACATGGTAAAAACATTAAATCAAATGCATCATTTTTCAAAACCTGAAACACATGAGGATGAGTAAAGGAAGACACGTTTTTATTCAGACCCTTATTTTTTAACCCATCCCTTCCATTCTGGCATGTAAGACACACTTTACACAATCATTTTAATTCTTGATGGATAATAATCACATTTGTTGAATTTTATTCTAAATTACATCTGATTACAGAAGTAAAAGCATCTGTGAACTGTGTTTCACTTTGTCTTGAACGCTCAGTAGCCCACTCATGTAAACTGACACTTAAGCCTTGCTGGAACAGATAAAGTGGATTTAAGAGTCTGGGAACACTGACTGTCAGTGATGTCACAGCACTGGAGTCATCCATCAGAACCTCAGACAGTTTTAGGTCATGTGTCACTGAAGACTGGAGTAATGATGCTGAAATTCAGTTTTGTATCACAGGAATATATATTTTAAACTATATTAAAATAGAAAACGTACACGGTTACTAAAGTAACCTTGGTTCCCTGAGATATGGGAATGAGTACTGTGTCTGCTAAGACGCTTTGGGAAAAAGCCTTTTTCTCCTGAACTGAAGCCTTTTTTCAATCACGCAGTGAAACTGCACGGCCATTGGTTTGTGCAGTGTATAAAAAACAAACCAATGGCTCGGCAGCGTAGCTGCACGAGCCTATGGTGACAAAGCCCGCCAGAATGGGCGGGGCATCTGGCTATATAAGCGGGCGTTCGCCACAGGATTCTCAGGTTACTCCGACTGAAGCGACGACTGAGTCGTGCGGCTACATAGCAGTCGTTCCACTACATTAGCATGGCGTGATTGTACTGTGTTCCTAAAGCATCTTAGCAGACGCAGTACTCGTTCCCGTATCTCAGGGAACCGAGGTTACATTTGTAACCGAGTACGTTCCCTTTCGATACTACACTCGTACTGCATCTGCTAAGACGCTTTGGGAACACAGTACAATCACGCCGTGCTAATGTAGAGGAATGACTAAAAGTATCATAACTTCCATAAGCAACCAATACCAATAGAGAAGTTAACAACAACCCAAGGCTAAGATGGGCTGAGCTTCCCGAGGTCACACCTGGCCTGGTTAATCATTCCAGAGTACTCCTGTAACTTCGACACCCAGGGGTCGAGAGTTAACAGGTGAACTAATGCCAGAGAGCTTGAGTGTGATACGGCCAAGGGCTCTCTGCCAGATCTGTTCATGCAGCGCGTGTCTCTTCAAGCGGAAAGGATCCTGGCCTGCAAGGCCGGGACTTCCAGGTTATAAAACCTTGCGAATGTGGACGGCGAGGCCCAGACGGTCGCCTCACAAATATTCGCAATGGACACACCACTGGACCATGACTAAGACGAGGTGATGCCTCTAGTTGAATGCGCCCGTACTCCAATGGGGCATTGAAGGCCCAAAGAGTACGCTAGTGAGATGGAGTCTACTATCCATCTCTAGAGTCTTTGCTTCGTGACCGGAAGCCCTTTGCTGTGGTTACCGAAGCTGACAAAAAGCTGTTCCGACCGTCTATAAGGGGCGACGTTAGTTGGGATTTCCCCAAGCAGTGAAACGCACTCCGTGTGGCCGTCATCGGCGTGCAGGGGAGACCTGCACAAACCGCAGTAACGGCGCAGCATTTGCAACAACACCAAGCTCTTTTAGTAAGCTCTTTTTAGAATCGCCGGATGGCAGCAGGGGAAAAGGACCGGAACTGCTGCGTCGCTGAAGCGGCGGAGAAGCAGGTAAGCCGTGCTGAGAGGTCCCGATTCCAGCTGCGAAGGCGTGTCAACGGCGAGCAGGCTTCGGATCAGCATAGAGACGTAGTAGTAGTTGTCGCTGAAGGAGAAGAAATCAGAGAATCCTGTGGCGAACGCCCGCTTATATAGCCAGATGCACCGCCCATTCTGGCAGGCTTTGGCGCCATAGGCTCGTGCAGCTCTTTTTATACACTGCACAAACAATGGCCGTGCAGTTTCACTGCGTGATTGAAAAAAGGCTTCAGTTCAGGAGAAAAAAAGGCTTTTTCACAAAGCGTCTTAGCAGACGCAGTACGAGTGTAGTATCGAAAGTGAACCACTATTTGAAATTGTAATAATATTTTACAATATTAAATTTTCTTTCTGTATTTTTGTTTATTGTTCAAATAAATGCAGCCTTGATGAGCATAAGAGACTTCTTTAAAAAACATAAAAAATCTTATATATATTTGCTAACACTTTAGATTAGGGAACACATATTATTACATATATTAACTAAGCGTTTTTTCTCAATTAACTCCTAATTACTGCTTATTGATAGTAAGTAAGGTTTGTAATAGTTATGTTTGAGTTATGCTTAGGTATTGGTAGGGTTAAGGGATCTAGAATATGGTCATGCAGAATAAGGCATTAATATGTGCTTTATAAGTACTAATATACAACCAATATGCTAGTAATATGCACGCTAATAAGCAACTAGTTAATAGTGAATAGTGTTCCCTAATCTAAAGTATTACCCATATATAATTATAATTTATTTTTACCAAAAATGTGTATCTATTTTTACCGTTTAGTATTGTGTGAATTTAGCGATGTTTTTAGCTTTCCGAGTTTAATCTTTTGTACCTTCTCCTGCATTGTATGCCAGTATGGCTCGTGTTCTCATCTGCTTGCCCTCGGCGGTTTTGCTAGAGCAGGTCTGGGAGCAGGTGGACCATTCGGTCCAGAGACTGAGAGCGCAGTCTTTAGGGCAGGGAACCACACAGGGCACAAATGAAGGGTAGACCTCATCCACACACATCTCCTTCTCCACCTCTGTACCTGAAACACAAAACATTTGTGGGTTTAAAACATGTTTCAAATTCATTAAGCACCATTCGCATGATTATTTTTACTGTACATGCTGTAAAACTGATACGTTGATGCATCTGAAGAATGAGCTGATGAAAATATTTATAACCATGAAGGTATTTAAGCTAAATTGTTAAACAGTACTTAAAAATAAATACAGTTTCCCAGGGGGTCTTGACCAACATCCACATACAAATTCATAATTTATGTAATAGTATCATCTGGTGTAAGTGTATTTGATCTCACATGTAGGTTATATACTGTACAGCAGATGGAAGAAGCTGACGTAACATGTCAAGCACATGTCTGGGTTATAATTCATGTCAAATTTCAAAAGCAGCAAGAAGGCAAGACAATCAAGCCTATTTGAAAACTTTTTAGATTTTTTGCATGCATTAATTGCACAACAATTATGTATTTTTTTCTCACATCATTCTTGCAATAATACTGTAAATGCAACAAAATCTATTTAATGCAAAAAAAAAAAAGAATCACTTAATTCGTATTTATTCATACACCAATGTAGAATTTATTGTATTGCCTTTGATTTTTGATTATTAAACATATAAAATATTACAATTTTAAATATTAAATTAAACAGATTAAAAAATATAAAATATTAAAACATAACAAGATTAAAGTGAACATTAAGTAAATATAAAATATACTAAATATTAATATATTAAATATAATATTGTCAAAAATGAAAAAAAAAAAAATACTCATGAGAATCACCATTGAGAAATAAGGGAGATACCAAAAAGCATCCAGATGCATTATGGTAATGAAAATGATGGCGTAAAATGTTCTTAACTGTCATGACAATAAACGTCACAATTCAAATTATGTTAATGGACCAACAATTAGGCAACATTTTCTTTATGCAAAATATGATTCACCCAGACAGGCTTTTAACAGTGCCATCCTAAAAACTGGAGAAAGCAATCATACAGATGGTTCTGAAGGACGGGCAAAAACAAAACATGTGCAATTGTTGTCAGCGTGTCTGTGTTTGGCAGCATTCATTACAACGCACAGCCTCTCTCAAGGGTTTTTATCAAACCTTTTACTTTGAGCCAAATCTGATGAGTATCAGCTTGGTTTTGGCTTTAGCTCAGTGACACGCTGAAGAGAAAAAACAAAAAAAGCTCTCTGCTTGAGCACTGAGCCACAAACACCCAATAAATATTTCCATCAAAAGCAGGGACAATTGTAGCAGACAGCGATACAATATTTACATCGATCTGTGTCAGAACCGTAGGCCATTTGTGAAGCAATATTGTACGTGTCACTCGCCGAGACAGTCGGAGCGAAGCAGATGCAAGTCTGGCTGTAAAAAAACAACTAGCAGATCAATTTTAATCAGTGCGTGATGGAATCAATCTGCCACAGCGTGCGGCTACAGAGAGGCGTTCAATTGCTCACGCGACAGATGCTAGAGAACATTATTGCATGTTATTATTATTTCATAGACGTCATATCACATGGCAGATTCTAAATGACAGTGGTCACGTGACATAGAGGGATTTCTTGAAAACAACAGATGTTTCCTAGTAGAGGCTGTGATGGTTTATCTTTTCAGACTCTCCATGAATATACTGAGCCCACATATGGCAAAATTGTGAGAAATTACATATGCAATTTCTGGAAGCATCCACTGTTACGTCCATTATGGTCCTAGACAAGTATATTTTTAGACAAGTCTGAGAGAAAAACAAGCTCTTTGTACCAGCATGCCTTGAAACCAAGGGTTTGCAAGCTACCAGGTTAGTACAATGAGCACTTTAGAGGATTAGCCAAATTTTCCAACAATGAATATTTGAAAGATACTGAATATTTTGAGTTATGTCTATTGCTTTGGTATCAGCTATTGCAGATAAACCTGCTCATAAAAACAGTTCAGTTATATCAGTTATACGGTTCTTGGCCAGAGAAAACTGAGAAATGATTATTTTGAGATCTCATGCATTTTTAGATATGAAAACTGACCATCACGCATAACTTTTTTCCCAAATTTATGACAGTTTTCCCAGATCAATTGCACAAAAAAAATGCAAGAAGCTGTCAACTTTGAGAACATGGAGTATTTAGCAGGACTAACAAGGTGTTTTAGACTTGAGAAACAGGGGTGACAAGTTGTCAGACGTGTCAGAAGACTGTCAGAACGCCGTGACCCTGTGGCTGTCAAAACATTGCTCTGTTTGTTTTAGCATCCTGACACAGCAGCCAATGGTTGTGAGCTCATCTGTTTACTCGGCCAATGGCAGACAGTGTGAAACATGTTTGAAAACAATCATTATTTCATGTGGAGTCTCTGCTGTGGTGCAGAAATTACATATGTCACCTTTAACTACATGCTGTCAGTAAGTAATAAGACTAATAATTTAATAATTATAAGTAATAATTTAAGTTTCACCTAACTTACAAAGTAGCATTTTTAAAATTACTTTCAACAATATAACATAGCACTGATTTCTCTATTTTTGATTTGGGCATTCAATTTGGGCATTCAATGAATCATTCAATTCATTCCAGTGAGGAAGTGAGTCATCTGATCAATTCAGACTGCTACATTCGATTCAAACGATCCATTAAAAAAAGAACCACACCAATCAAATCTGACAGCACATTGTGAATTTCATGACATAAGATAATAAAATGGCAAACCAAATACAAGACCTTGAACGAGATTGACCTATTAAAGACATTTTTTGCAATTATTACACCAAGCTGATTTTAAGTGTCAGTTTGCCAATATAGACTACCATTTAAAAGTTTGTGGTCAGTGAGATTTTTATTTGTTTTATTTATTTTTGTTTTGAAAGAATTTATGCTTTTATTCAGCAGGGACACATTCAATTGATCAAAAGTGACAGTAAAGATATTTATAATGTTACAAAAGATTTTTATTTCAAATAAATGCCCAATTCAGACTGCTACATTCGATTCAAACGATCCATTAAAAAAAGAACCACACCAATCAAATCTGACAGCACATTGTGAATTTCATGACATAAGATAATAAAATGGCAAACCAAATACAAGACCTTTTCTCAGAACGAGATTGACCTATTAAAGACATTTTTTGCAATTATTACACCAAGCTGATTTTAAGTGTCAGTTTGCCAATATAGACTACCATTTAAAAGTTTGTGGTCAGTGAGATTTTTATTTGTTTTATTTATTTTTGTTTTGAAAGAATTTATGCTTTTATTCAGCAGGGACACATTCAATTGATCAAAAGTGACAGTAAAGATATTTATAATGTTACAAAAGATTTTTATTTCAAATAAATGCTGTTCTTTTGAACTTTCTATTCATCAAAGAATCTGAAAAAAGTTTATTGCAGTTTCCACAAAAATATTAAACAGCACTACTGCAATAATAATGAAAAATGAGCTTCAAATCAGCATATTAGATTGATTTGTGAAAGATTTCTGAAGACTGAAGTAATGATGAGCTTTGATCATAGGAATAAATTACATATTACAATATGTTTAAAGAGAAAACAGTTACACTGTAAAAAATGTGTGTAATTTTAACTGTAAAATATTGTAAAAACGCTACGGGAAAAAAAGTTCATATGTTAACAGTAAGTTACTGTACTATATACAGGGAAAAACTGTAAAAGATCTAACCAGACATTTCATTTAATTTTACAGTAAAATGCTATTAATTGTACAATTTTTAGAAGTAAAAAAGAACAAATCAACATATAATTTACAGTAAAAAATTGTAAATTGATATTCCCAGAATTCACAGCGTGACACTCCACATTTGAAAGTATTTTGTTTAAATAATCATGTTTCTTAATAGTTTGGTCATGTTTGTTATCAGTTATGTACATGTGGGTTTTATGTTACATCTTCTGTTGTTTAATGAATGTTTATTGCATTATTTAAGTGTTGTGTATGTTACCATGATGGTGTTTAGTGTTTGCATGAATGACTCTGTGTCTTCTATATATTAGTATATACTTCAGCTTGTGGAAAAACTACTTGTGATGAACTGATTCTTCATATTGCTGTCTCTTTTGCCACCTGCATTATTATGGTGATTGTCAATTTATGTTAAAGATACAAAACAGATTTTAGTAGCAGTGTGCATTGTTGAATGTACTAGTTTACACTCACATTTTCTTGTTGGTAAATTACAGTTTTATACTGTGAAATCTACAGTTTGTTCTGTAAATGTGTTTACAGTTTTTCTGTTTTTCATGCAACCACAGCTGCCAGTATTATTTTGTAAAAACTACAGATTTTTTACAGTGTAATATTATTGCAATTTTAAGTGCATGTTTTCTATTTGAACATATTGTAATATGTAATTTATTCCTGTGATCAATAAATCAAATAAATGCAGCCTTGCTGTCGTTGAAGAGGACAATTTACCAGCTAGTGCAAGTCTTTAGCCGGTCAAATATACAAGTGTCTCTCCAGGCACGGCTGAGATTGTCTTTATTGAGGAGCTGAGCTGTAGGAGGACACGATCACCATTAGCAGCATGTTTACACTCCTCTGCTCTCTGCAGCATTAACCCTGTAAAGAGCTCCAGCTGAAAAATGTTCCAAACACACCAGCTGAGAGACGAGATACGGCTGCCTTCCACCAGGATAGTGTTTGAATTCCCAGAGGCTAATTACCAGATTCAAAATCAATCCTGCTTTTTAAAGACATCCACCGCAGAAGCCTTCATAACACAAGTGAGAATCTACTGGCCTGCTTTTGCAGTATAATCATCTGGCAAGCTTCACGCAAGAGATTATTTTAGCATTTTTGGAAAAAGACCACATGCTCCAGTTGCAGTTTTCTTAAGCCCTATTCGGATTGGACCAGTTTTTCCTTAGGAGGTTTGACAGTTTCATAGATATACGTGATTGTAATCCAGTTTGAATTAAACATGATTCATAATGCATGCATTAACAACATCAATACAGAGATCCCAAACCCATCTGAATCAACACATGATGATGTACACCCTTAAAAAACAATAAATAAAAAAAATAAAAAGTAAAATTTACGGTAAAAAAATAGCAGCTGTATAAAAAAATATAGTAGAAATAATACGTTTTACAGAGTGGGCTTAAATTTACAGTAAAATGAATTAAATTTAAATCATGACAACTCTTGGAACATTTTAGCATGGTGATGGATATAACAGTGTTAATGTATTTGGTCTTGGCGGAACAGATCTGCTACGCTGCTGCTGCTGTTGGTTATTGCTGTAGTTGTAGATTATTGCTGCTGCTGCAAGCAAGTACAGGAACTTGCTACTGCCAATGCATATGGCGATACGGAGCCATGAGTATTTAAGACATACTGCTGCTGCACAAATAGCATATAAAATAACCCCGTAGCAGATCTATACAGGTGGAGCTGGGGAAGGTGGAGCGTTTCAGAGAAATCTGAAAGCGCGCTGCAGGAATCTCAAGTGAATGCTAGCCAGCCATATAAATGCAAGGCAGTAAGCTCATTGGCTGCATATGCAGCATGAACCAATCAGCTTGTGCCAAGTCGTTTAACTCTGAATATCATCAGTTACATATAGAGTTTCATGACTGAACTATATATATGTTTAAAATAAATAAAATTTGAATAAAATAAGTAAAAATTGGATTAAAATAAATAAATCGATAAAGTGTATTGAATTGAAAATAAAAAATAGAATAAAATAAATACGGCTGAGATTGTCTTTATTGAGGAGCTGAGCTGTAGGAGGACACGATCACCATTAGCAGCATGTTTACACTCCTCTGCTCTCTGCAGCATTAACCCTGTAAAGAGCTCCAGCTGAAAAATGTTCCAAACACACCAGCTGAGAGACGAGATACGGCTGCCTTCCACCAGGATAGTGTTTGAATTCCCAGAGGCTAATTACAGATTCAAAATCAATCCTGCTTTTTAAAGACATCCACCGCAGAAGCCTTCATAACACAAGTGAGAATCTACTGGCCTGCTTTTGCAGTATAATCATCTGGCAAGCTTCACGCAAGAGATTATTTTAGCATTTTTGGAAAAAGACCACATGCTCCAGTTGCAGTTTTCTTAAGCCCTATTCGGATTGGACCAGTTTTTCCTTAGGAGGTTTGACAGTTTCATAGATATACGTGATTGTAATCCAGTTTGAATTAAACATGATTCATAATGCATGCATTAACAACATCAATACAGAGATCCCAAACCCATCTGAATCAACACATGATGATGTACACCCTTAAAAAACAATAAATAAAAAAAATTAAAAGTAAAATTTACGGTAAAAAAATAGCAGCTGTATAAAAAAATATAGTAGAAATAATACGTTTTACAGAGTGGGCTTAAATTTACAGTAAAATGAATTAAATTTAAATCATGACAACTCTTGGAACATTTTAGCATGGTGATGGATATAACAGTGTTAATGTATTTGGTCTTGGCGGAACAGATCTGCTACGCTGCTGCTGCTGCTGTTGGTTATTGCTGTAGTTGTAGATTATTGCTGCTGCTGCAAGCAAGTACAGGAACTTGCTACTGCCAATGCATACGGCGATACGGTGCCGTGAGTATTTAAGACATGCTGCTACTGCACAAATAGCATATAAAATAACCCCGTAGCAGATCTATACAGGTGGAGCTGGGGAAGGTGGAGCGTTTCAGAGAAATCTGAAAGCGCGCTGCAGGAATCTCAAGTGAATGCTAGCCAGCCATATAAATGCAAGGCAGTAAGCTCATTGGCTGCATATGCAGCATGAACCAATCAGCTTGTGCCAAGTCGTTTAACTCTGAATATCATCAGTTACATATAGAGTTTCATGACTGAACTATATATATGTTTAAAATAAATAAAATTTGAATAAAATAAGTAAAAATTGGATTAAAATAAATAAATCGATAAAGTGTATTGAATTGAAAATAAAAAATAGAATAAAATAAATAAAAAAAGAGGTTAAATAGGGTTAAAAAGAGGTTAAATACATACAAATATTATTAAAATAAGCAAAGAATAGAATAAAATAAATAAATGAAAAATAGATTGTACTAATGTGCATAGCAGATACATTCTGGAAATACCAATGTAAATTTTTTCCACTGTTAACTATAAAATGACTTTCAAAAAATTTACATTTAGTAGTATTTTACCTTAAAATGACATAAAATGTCCTGTTAGATCTATTACAGTTCACCATATATTGTAAAGGAACTTATCGTTAACCAATTGGTTTTTACTGCAGCAATTTTACAGTCTTTAGCTGTTAAAATTAGGATCTTTTTTACAGTGTAAACCTGACCTGAGCAGTATTTAATACCTTCGCTGTTGATGCAGCGGACCTGTGGAGTCTGCGTTCCCTCTCCACAGTCCATGTCTTCTTCAGGGATACACTCCTCTAGCTTGACCAGCTGCCAGCTAAAACAGCTGGGATCATCACACGGGATGGCCTCCACCAGATGAGGACAGTTCCCCTCGCCACCTGTGGGGTAATTAGTGATCGTACGTCGTCTGAACTTGAAACCTGCAAATAAACGTGACAGAAAAGGTTTATTAGTTAGGTCCATACACAGAGTGAACACTTACTGTAAGTCAGACTTAAAATGTCACTGGAGTAGGACAAAATATTAAACTAAGTAGCATCTAATGTCATTTTCAATGACCTTACACACAATTACTGTTAACCAACTTGTCCTAGGGCGAATTGTGGTGGAAGTGTGTGACCTTTCGTTGAATCTATTTTTTAGGGTGGATCTTACAAAACTCTCAAGAACATGTCCAATTCACATTTCAGTCCAAAAGCAAAGCAAAGTTTTTAAAAAAAAATTCAAAATCATTAAATAAATCATTTAATAATAATAATAATAATAATAACTTCTTACAAAACACATGTCCAATTCACATTTCAGTCCAAAAGCAAAGCAAAGTTTTTAAAAAAAAATTCAAAATCATTAAATCATTAAATAAATAATAATAATAATAATAAAAAAGCAAATACACTAGTTAACGTAAATGCAAGCGAAAAGTCAATGTCACATTACACGCATATGGTGATATGAAAATGTACCTGGGCTATCACTTCCTATAATAAACAATGTCGTTTTGCAGAAGCTAACTACCATTTACAGTCAATTTTAACACTACGCATTATTTTTTAACATTTTGAGACATTTATCGTGCCATCTGCTGCACTGATTTTCTTGTTTTAAAACGGCAATGTTTATCTAAAGTTGCTTTGCAACGATTTGTATCGTGAAAAGCGCTATACAAATAAACTTGAATTGAATCTGCACTAAACAGTATGCACAGCCACTAGCTTAGCCGGCTAAATAGTGTAACTTAGTGATCCAAAACCGCCGCTGCAGAGTTAAGGGCACAAACTCATGACTCGATCATCGAAAGGAAAGCGTTGGCTTTTTTACTCAATGTATGCCAGTCTCGCGCCACAGCCAATGCTTCCCGCATAATCCTTTTCTTCACTCTGCCTTCACTAATTTTAAGATGGCGCCTGAGGTTTAGAATTCAGGAGTGAATTATTGACATAAGATATTAAATGTTTATATCCAAATATTCTTTGAACGAAGCTGCAAGTCTTTCATATTAAAACGAGCATGTTTCTCCAACAATACCAACACAGTTTTGCGATTTTTATAAAACGAATTGGTGTTTTGTTCCATTATTGTGATAACGTTTATAAGCAGTAAACAAAGAAGCCCCTCATGTTTTATAGAGCTGTTCAGTTTATGCTCTTAGAACAGAATTTTTTTAAATTAAAAAAAAACATCTGTTTTGTTCAATAACATAAATTCATACCATAAAACCTTAGGCATGAAGCTGCAGTTTTTCTGAAATATGTGGCAGTTTGTTAGCACTTTGCTTTACAAAGCAGCTTCAAAATTCACATTTATTTGACTGTATTTTATATTCACAATGTTCTTTGCATCTAGGTTCAATATGGATCTATGGTTCCTTTAACATCCATGGAATCTTTCCATTGCACAAAAGGTTCTTTATAAGGGAAAATGGTTATTTAGATTATTAAAATGTTCTTCACACTAAGATTTTTTTTTAAAGATCTGATCTCTAAAGGTTCTTTGGAGAATCTAAAATGTTTTTGTGGCATCTCTGGGGGGGAAAACACCTTTTGGAACTTATAGGACTAAGTGTAGAACAAAAAAGTGAAAGTCTCTTCTACTAAATTAAACCACAGGCCATATTTTGTTCTTTGACACAATCTGTATTGTATAAAGCACTATATAAATAAAGGTGACTTGAATAAAGGTGACAAATCAAAAACCACAAATTCAAAGTGAAGGAATACCCAGTTATAGCCTCTTTTGCAATAGTCAATGGATAAACTGCAACCTTTTTTAGCCTGGGTCTCAACCCAAACTCATATGGTTGTAACAACAGGTTAAGATGTAATAAGAAAGCACATTTTAAAATATATGCAACACAGTCCCTGACTTATTCTTGGCAGGTAATATAATAAAGTCATCAAAATAGTGCCAAACAAATGAATAAGGCAGGTGGGAGGGCCACATGACCCATATACCCCAAAAAGCTTTTTAAAGATTAAAAGATCAGGGGCTGTTTTCAAATACCTCAGACTGCACAAATTAAGTCAATCTTAAATCCGGTACTTAGAGTCGTTCCCTTGCAGAACAGAACGTTGACGGGTTTTGATGCTGTAACGCAAACACATGCATTAAAACACTGCAATAACACTCCCACATGAGCACCACACATGACGGACAATTAGGTTTATGTAACTGCAGGAAACAACAAATGGCAACATTAAACACGTTCCGAAGAATCCTGATTTGCTGTTGCATCACGGCAAAGGAAAAACAGGAGAAAACCGGAATCTCCACAGATTTCTGCATAATTTGAACGCACGTGTTTGTTTTTTACATATTTGAACTAATCTGATAACGTTCCCAGTTATCAATAATCTAAAATATAAGATATAAAATAATGACAATAATGAAAGAAAAATTAATGACAAAAATGAAATAAATTAAAATAATAAACAAAATAATAAAAAAATAAAATGTTTTTAAATAAGGCAATATCATTGTATTTTTCATTCAATTTTGAGATTTTGGGAACTTTGGTTTTTTTATAACACGTTTCAGAAGAACTAGTGGAAAGAAAACATCCAAAATATATTTTCGTCTGCACATTTTAATTACAATACATATATTTAAATTTGTTTTCTCAAAATGGGATTTTTTTTCTTCTGCTAGAAATCTCCACTTGGGTAACACTTAATCCTAAAAACATGGAGAAAATGTATTTTAATTCTGGCTGTTGACAGTATTTTCTGATATATCGAGTTTAAAAAAAACCCCACTTGTAATACAAAAAATGTTTGCAGTTCATAAATGTAATGAAATGGGGAAGTATGGTAATATATTAGTTACATTTTTTACCCTATTCACCTGAAATAAAATAAAATAAAAATGTGATATCTATTACTTACTTTAAAATAAAGATTAAACACACACACACACGGACATTACATATACTTCTATTGTTTTTATATACAGATAGTTCCACACTTTTTAACCTAAACCTACCCCTCACAGAAAACTTTCTGCATTTTTACAATAAAAAAAAAAAACCTTGTTTACTTTATTTTTATACCAGTTTTACAAATGAGGATGTCCCCAAATGGAGGTTTTTTGCAATTTTGTCAGGTTTTGCTCACTTTTGGGTACAAATCTGTCCCCAAAATATGGTAGGTACACACACACACACACACACACACACAAAATCAATCTAAAATAGTCCTCTCAGAGGAATAGTCCTCAAATGAGTGTAGAAAATGCAAGCCAAGTCTGTAGATCCTGTCTGGAACCAGTATGTGTGGAAAAGAATGGTAAAACACAAATTCAAAAACACAAACAAAAACGGTGCATTAATGTTTTAACACAGGACTTTCCTGTCGGCTTGATGGGTGACAGGTGACATGACTGCTGCGTTTGCATCAAAGCAAGGTAAACTCTTCTCGTAGAGCTCTCCATGCTCATATGTGGTGAGTTCTGCTCCCTAGAGATTTCCAAAACAAAATGCTCTCCACACACACAAATTGTCAACTAAAAAAGCACAAGAAGAAAGACTGCGCCACAGACCTTCAACAAAAATAATTGATTGAACTCTGGAAATGACAGTTCACCTCGTTCAGCTCTTCTGGTGCTGCATGTTCCCAAAATTAATGAAGAGACAGATTTCAGTGTAATGCACCATCATCTAAGTTAACATAACACAGCACAGGTTGTCCTTGTTTACATGCCAGATGGTCTAGACCTTCTGCGCAAACTTTCTGTCTAATCAAAGTTTGCAGTCTGTGCCTTCTTTGACAAACCCAGGCGGACAGGCTTAGCTTCAAGCATGAGAATGATCTGGGATCTGGGTAGCTGTTTGAAAATAGATGAAAAACCTAACGAGGCCCTGCTATTTATTAATATACACTACCTGACAAAACTTTGGGGTTTGAAAGACTTTTTTTTTTCTTTGAAAGATGCATGTTATGCTCAC